TCATACCGGACGGGGTATGGAGACCTTATGTGTTTTGGCGCCCATACCGGACGAGGTATGGGGACGGCCGTTTCACCCTTATACCGGATAGGGTATCGAGGTTTATGGTCTTGGCGCCCATACCGGACTGGGTATGGAGACGGCCCTGGAGTCAGGTTATTAATGTTAATGGTTCACGTGTAGTGAGAACCCCCTATGGATCTCCATGGATAGTAGTAGGCTGGTAAAAGAGGAAATTTATTGTCTGATTATTGAAGTGCAAAAGTAGGACATGTGTTCTGTTACAAAGTGTATATGATTTTATGATGATTATCATGTTATTGTTTTCATAGGTTATTTTCATGAATCTCACCGAGGTAAGTAGACAGTAAAGGTTTTTTTTATGTTAATAAATGAGTTTGTTATAAATTATGCTCCATTGGTTGTTTTTGTTTTCTACCAACTTTTACTCCTGTGACAGTGAGATAGTGTGATGTCTTTACTGGGCTAGTGTAACTCATTCCTTACTTAACCATTTCAGATCAGGAAGACGTGGTTCCCGAGCCCGTTCCGCAAGAAGACGGCGAGTTAGACACCTAAAGACCTTATAGCTCTATTTATAATTTTTATTTCAAGTATCTCTTTTAATTAGCTTATTCTTTCATGTTTTGAGTACGTTTTTGGTTATTGCGTAAGGGATGTTAATCAAAATTTTTATTACGTTTCTGCATTTAAGATTTTTAATATATACATCTTCATTTAAATTATGGGACCGTTACAATCTCTATAAGTCTTTCTAAAGCATTTTTTTTAAAAAAAATAGAGAAAAAGATTAAAATGTCTTCATCTTCAACCTCTGTACTAGGTGAAAGAAAAAATATGCAGAATAATGACAAAACATTTTTTTCTAAACATGATTGACTTTAAAAAATACATAACTTTTTCATTTTATGTTTAAAAATTACAAATAATATACCAAATTAAAGTTCTTGGTCTCTATTTTTATTTTAAAACTAATATTATACATATTTAAGTAATAAAACACAAAAGTAAAAATTGAATTTTATACAAAAAATTCAACAAAGTGCAAATTGAAACAAATTTAAATATGCATGTCCGGTTCGGGCTCCATTAGCAATCGTAATTAATTATGCATATCTATTTAATTTGTACAAAATATAGTATCATCATTTATTCAAACTTCAATTCCATGATAGGAAAAAGGGTGAGGGATCCTTACTTGATTCGACATTGAAAACTAGATGGTTACTACGCCTACAGACGGTCCCTAGGTTCTCTGAATTTTTCTTTAGGAACTGAAACGCACTTACAGTATCTACAAGTGTCCCAAATAACCCAAAAATCATACTTAGGGCCTACTCGGCCAATTTCAGAATTCCGGCATGGTGGCTCCGTCGTGCTCCGGCGACGGCGCCGTCACGCTGCCTCGTGTTGGCTGTTTTCGGCTGTTTTCGGCCGAATTCAGCCGAACTTACACCGGTTCCTGCGAGAAAACACATTTGGGGCTCTCGGTGGGCCGAAAAAATACAGAAAATCGAAACTCACCGGCGGTTGGCATCGCTGGTGCGGCGACTCCTCCGGCTCACGTTGCGGTTGAGTGTTTTGCTTCAGTCAACCTGTAGAGAAAGAAACAGTAGTCACAACGGTAGAAAAATCACATCGAACAGGAATTGGGAAGGGCCTCATCGGAGGCCTTTTTCGAAACACCCTGCAGTGGTGGCGCCGAGCTTCGGCGGCATTTTTCGACTAATCGGCCGATTCTCTCACTTCAGTTTGGTCATGGGTGGGTTTAAAATTAAATTTCGTGCAAGAAGGGAAATTTTTACCTTGTTTGGCAGTCAGAAATTGCTCCGGTACAGCGACGGATGGCGGCGGTCAGCTCCCCGGCGGCTGGGATGTCTTCTCCGGCGAGAGGCTCTGGCAGCTAGGGTTAGGGTTTGGGTGCGTATGGGGTTATTTATACTCATCCGCTTTTGATCTGGGCCGTCCATCACTTTTAATCTGAACCGTCCGATCGCGATTAAATAAGGAGTGAATTTAGGTCGTTCATCGCAATTCAATCTTAGCCATCCGTGTGCGATTCAATCTGAGCTGTCCGTGCGCGATGCAATCTGAGTCGTCCGTGCGCGTTTTTGATCTAGGTTGTTCGTGCGCGCGGGAACGGATCTCAGCCGTTCAATCGCGCGCACGTAGATCGCCCACGTGGCCTCCCGCATCAGCGCCTCTGCCACCTGGCGCATCCTGTTTGGTCAAGGCTGCTGACCGGGCAGCTGACGTTGCATAACTTTTTTAAATTGTGTTTTGACCCCCGGTATCCGATTTTTCTTTCAAAAATACCATCAGAACCCAAATTTTCACCTATTTTATTTTTAATTAAATTCCTAACTAATTTTTTACCCTTATTATTATTGTTATTGAATCAAATTAAAATTAAATAAATTAAATTAAAATAATATAAATAATCTAATTATATTTATATAAAAATAATAATAATAATAATAAATAATGAAATGTCGGTGTTACAGCATGTTTCTTTCATTAAGTAGTTTTCTATATACATACATACATATATATATATATATATATATATGTGTGTGTGTGTGTGTGTTTATACTTACAATCTCATATCAAATAAATAAAAGACACAGGGTATGATTTGCTTTGATTTTTGATTGTGGGTCAATCTGAGAAATTCATTTCCCAAATCCAATTGAATAAACAAAAATATTCTCTTCATATTGTAAAGCTAGATGGAATTCACACCTTAAATTGATTAGGATTCCATCCACACTTTGACCTATTTATCCCAATTTAAAAAGTTCATATTAAATGAATAATTAGGTCAAAGTGAAAAATATTAACTACCAAAAACCAACATTTTCCATGCTTTCTTTTCTTGATTAATTTAGAAGTAAACTACTCATGGGTATATATATATGTATTGCTGTGACGATAATCAGTTGAGAAAAGAAAGAAATCAAAGAAAATGGGAAGTAATGTTAGAAGAGATCCTCCATCGGAGTCCCAAAGAGAGCTTCTGTACTCGGGTGATAATAATGAGATGATAGAGCAAGGGACTGTTACTGAAGCCTGGAAACTCAACATGAACAAATTTGAATTGCCGAAAACACCCCTCCCTTCTCGTTTCAGTTTCCTAAATAATCTCCTCACTGGTAAATTACTGCTCTTTTCTTTTTTCTTTTTTTTCTTTTTCTAAAGTAGAAAGTAGAAAATCAATTCTCCTTAAACACTTCATTTTCACTTGTTTTCGTAACACTATTACTCATGTTCACATATATGTGTATACATATATTACCTAGGGAGAGACAGGAAAATTAAAGCATATTACAAAAGGCAAGAAAGGCTTCTTGAACGGTTTAGCCAAGTGGATGCATTTTTCGAGTTGGAAAATTTAACCCAGGTAAGTTGTTAATATTCATTTGATTAAATTATTTTTATTTTTAAAAATATTTTTTATATTTATTTCGAGAGATATTGTGTTTTTTTTAAAAAAAAATTCTGTACAAAAGAATTATAATCTGTTGATAATGTATTACCAAATTATAATAGTAAAATTTTTATTTATTAATCTTAACTGTTAATGTAGACATACTTGTCGAATCACATTAAATTTTATATTTTTTTCTCATTTTTACTCTATTTTATTGTGATTGTGCGCATTTTGGAATTAATTTTCTTAATAATTTAATTAAATTACTCTTCTTATGTATTGAGATATGATTAAATTGTAGGTAAATGATGAAATTAAACAAGTCGGAAGACAAGAGAATATGGCTATTTACGCATCGAATATAGCAAATTTTGTAATTTTATTAGCCAAAATTTATGCTTGTGTCGCGAGCAAATCCTTGGCGGTTATAGCTTCAACCTTAGACTCTCTACTCGACCTTTTGTCTGGTTTTATTTTGTGGTTTACTGCTTATTCAATGGCAAAACCAAATTACTATCGTTATCCTATTGGCAAAAATAGGATGCAACCTCTGGTAATCTACACATATACATGCTATACCAATACATATATAATATCTAATACCCCCTTCATTTCAGGCTGGCTAATATTAAGACATAATATAGTAACATTTACTTCCCACCTCAAATTGCAGGGAATTCTTGTCTTTGCATCGGTAATGGCTACTCTTGGTTTGCAAATTTTATTTGAATCTGGTCGACAGCTTATCACCAAGGTATATATGTGTTTATGTGTATCTAAATATGTCAATACATAAAAAAATCTTGGTTTGCTCCGGAAAGGACTTGGTCTTAATACATAAAAAATCTTGACGCATGGGTCATACACGTAAATATAAATATAGTAAAGATAATAAACAAAGTAACGAGAAATGGTTATAATATGCATGTAGACTCAACCAGAAAGGGATCCTGAAAAGGAAAAGTGGATGATAGGAATCATGGTATCTGTGACAGCCGTCAAATTTCTACTACTGCTTTACTGTCGGAGATTCCAAGACAAGATTGTAAGAGCATATGCTCAAGATCATTTCTTTGATGTCATTACAAACTCAGTGGGTCTAGCGGCGGCTGTTTTAGCTGTCAAATTCTACTGGTGGATTGACCCTCTTGGTGCCATTCTTGTAAGTTTTATATAAACTTAACCCTCAAACGATCTCATAAGTTCTGTACATACAACTGTATAACTATATACATACATGGGCGTTTTATAATATATCTATATATGTATATGTATGTGTAGATAGCGGTATACACAATGGCAAATTGGGCGAGAACAGTGATGGAGAACGTGTGGTCATTGATTGGAAAGACAGCACCGGCGGAGTACATAGCTGAGTTAACCTACTTGGTGTGGAACCATGATGAGCAAATTAAGCATATAGAGACAGTAAGGGCATATACATTCGGCAGTCACTATTTTGTGGAGGTTCATATTGTTTTGCCACCGGACATGTCCTTAACTCAAGCACATCACATAGGAGAAACACTGCAGGATAAGCTTGAACAACTTTCGGAAGTAGAACGAGCGTTTGTACATGTAGATATTGATATCACACATTATCCAGAACATAACCACAAATCTAAAAAACACTCGGGTAATAATATACACACCACACATACACAACCATATTAGAGTTTGGGTTTGACATTTGTTTCATTTACTTTGAGAACTTTACTTATAACTTGTACCAGTGTTTCATCAACTCTTTCAATATAATTTGTTCTTGTTCCAACATATAGCTAGTAGTACTCCCTATTTAAACACATCAAAGAATGAAATATTTTTTATGTTTTCGTTTTCTTATTTATATATTCATTTATTTCATGTGATTTTTAAATAATCAACTAATATTAAAGTCTAATTGCATTTGTAATAATAAGAAATTAAAATAAATAAAATCAATATAAATCATTGTTAAAACATTTATAAATTGATAGTTCTTGAAAAGCTATTGTCATAACTCGATAAAACTTAATTAGCACAATATGAAGTAGGTAACAAAAGGTAACTGTTACATTATTTCTATTTAATTCTATTAAATATCAATTAATG